CTTGCAGCTCCAACTACTTTCCTTACTCTCCTACCACCATCATTTTTCTATATCAAGGTTTTACTCAGAAATAGATAGTAAACTAGTGTCTTAGGCTGCTACTTTTTTTTTCTCTCTCTTTTTTTCCCCTGCCAAAAGCAAGCCAGAAATACCTCTGCAAAAGAAAACCATTTGAAATTTTCCTCACCCCAAATTTACAACTAACTAATCCTTGCAATTGCAGAGATATCATTTGACAGCTTTGCCTCATACTGTATGTGTCTATTCAAAGGTTGTTCTGAGCATTAAGAATTATTCCTCAGATGCTGTATTGCTATCTATCAGCAAGTATCAAAATGGGATGCTATATAATGGTAAGAAGTCAAGTAAAGCTCACGCTCTTTGAATTGAGGGAACTGCAGATTTTGTGTTCATCTCTTGTGGCATTGGCCCAATGCAAACATTAATAAAATATTACATTAATAATCAAAAAGAAAAAGTTCACATTCTTCTACAATGAAGGTCAGAAATGTAATAAAATAAGTCTGACCGAAGGCATAATATTGATCTTTTTTCTTGACCTTGCTAATGCGGAAAAAAAATCTCACCTGATAGAAAGAGCTCACTTAAGTAGACACAGTTAGTAGAATTCTCGATCCATCATTTTCAAACAAAACATAAATGCAAAATGAGTATTACCAACCTTCAAGCACCAAATCAAAGACTTTTTCTTCAAATGTAATTACAACATCGAAGGGACCATCAGCAGCATTATCCTGCCAACGTTGAGGTGCAAGCTTTACACCCAAGTTCCTTTTCAGCATAGGCAGTATTCCATTTCGTTTGTACCTGGAAATTGAAATTGAGGCTCAACCCTAATTTGAATTAAAACAAGAGGATTCTGAAAATAAAGCAATATCAGCCATCTCAAAGTATAGAAACACGGTGGAGGTTGTGACTTTTGTCCTGAAAAGGAACACACCACATTATCATGGCGTGGAACATTTGAGAATTTCGTATTCCAGAATATGCAACTTTACCCATATTCAGAAGTCAAAAACTAAACAAGTGCTAAAATTTATCCGCAAGAATAAAACAACTCCAAATACACATGAAAATCCTGTTACAGACCCCCTGTCTCATGTGAAATAATGATAGACACATTTTCCCTAAAAAGAAACCTCCATTGGCGTCTAACGAAACGAGAAGTTCTTGTAAAATTTATACTTATATGAATACCCTTACATTAACTCCTCCGATTTTATTATGCTAATTGTCCATTAAGGTAAGGAAACTAGAACAGGATATTAGGCATCCAAAAGCTTCAAGAAGATCATTCAAATCCTAGCAGATGGAAAATCCTTAAATTCACTTCGTGCAGCGCAAATAACAGACACTACACATATTAGGGTTATTTAATGGTAACTGAATTGAGTAACACACGAAATTTTAAACACAGAGAGTTCAAGGAATTAGCAAAAGGAGACGATAATTAGAAAAGGCATAAATGCAATTTTGGCTTACAGTTCGACGTCTTTGCGGCGGAGGTCATCGAACATCTGCTTATAAGGAGTGCCGAAGTCGTAAACATTTGGTTCCCTAATAGAAGGACCAGGAAGCTTTACATGTTGCCCAGTGCCATATGAGGCCACATCAAATCCCTCCCTTTTCAGTAGACAATGTGACTCCATGCTCCGATTCTGATTCGACGAGCACACCATTGCATACCGGAGCTTCATAACTGATTCCGGCAGTGCTACTCTTGTATTCCAGATGAGACGAATTCGTCGATAGCTACACGTTCTGGAATTTGCGCCGGCGTCCAGTAGAAGAGGAGAACTTCAATTCTTGAGCAGAGATTTTAGTAGGAGTAGTAAACGTGTTTTTGGTGAGTGAAACAACAAGCACATTTCTTCGCCAGCTAATTAATTAAATTAGTATATACTTGTAATCATTTTTCTTGTGAAAATATCACAAATTTTTAACATAATTATTAAATCCATTTATAGTGTTAGTTAATAATTAACAATTCTTCGCCAGCTAATTAATTAAATTAGTATATACTTTTAAGGGAAAATGCACCATTACAAATATGTCCAAAATTTCAGAAATACACTTTAACTATTGTAAGATTCTATTACCCTGAACTTATAATTTTTGTAATTTTGTATAACTTTTTGGTTAACGTGACATTCAAATATCTCCCACGGGCCTTAATTACGTGGAGTTACGGAATGTGCCACGGAAGACAAAAGGTGTATAAAATTACAAAAAGAAATAAGTTCGACTAAGACCTTAGTTTAGTTAAGGTGTGTCTCTGAAATTTTGGTCATAGTCTAGAAGCTACTCGTACATTTTCCCTAGATTTAATCATTTTTCTTATGAAAATATCACAAATTTAACATAATTATTAAATCCTTCACCACCTAATTGTATGGGATATGTTAAATTTATAGTGTTGTTAATAATCAACAAAATATAACTTTATAATTGTTCTACAAAAGTAATATAGTTTTATAAACGTCAAATAAATAGACTAGTTATATAATGTGTATACAAATTCGATAAAACTATTCATTTTTCTTGTATTATTATTTTATCGCAATATAAAGTTATTTCTTTGATGCAGAAGAGAGTATCTAGACATATGAGAAGCTAGGAGGACAAGCTGCAATGGAGTTTTTCAAATAGAATCTATAGAAATGGATCACTCACAGAAAATTGGGTTGGATGTATGTATCGAATATATATCTATCTTATTTGGAATTAAAAGTGCTCAAGGCCATTATCACAGAAGTGCATATATGTGGCAACGAGATTAAAGGAAATAGGCCTTTCCAATCGCATACTAGGAGACAATTCATACTATTACTTAAAAAGAAAAATGATAGCTATATATAGTGTTCATTGCTAATTTATTGTTATTTTTCTCATAGCTAATATAAATTTATTGTTAGTAATAAATTTTGTTGTTTATTTTCGTGTTATTAAATTTATTTTTCTTAGTGATGGACTGAAGTGAAAGTCAACTCTTGATCAATTAAATACTTAATCTGTGTAGAATAATTAATTCTTGTAAATACTAAATATAGCTGACTCGTGATGTATTTACCTATTTGTACACTTCATAAAATTTTTAATTTATCCATTACCACACAATAAAACTAAAAAGGCATTTGTTAAACTTAATTTACTATAATGCCCTAATCCATATCATGCGAGGAGTCGTTTGGCTGGTAACAAGTTATCACAAGATTAGTTATTTTTGAATTAACTATTATGAATAATTTATCCATCATATATATTTAGATAACTTATTCGATTATGACATAAATGATGAATAAGTTATCCAAATATAACAATTAAATAAAATACGAAAATTTATTTCTATCACTATTTTTTATCCCATTACTATTAAATTTAATCCTTAGTACCAAATGAACCCTTAGTATACTAGTAAAACTCAAATCCTTAGTACCAAATGAACCCTTAGTATACTAGTAAAACTCAAAAGCAATGTTCCAAACATCTCAAATGACCACCACTTAAATTAATTTCTCTTCATTAATTAGGTTCTATTCGGTTACTCCATCTATTTAAAAAAGAATGTCCTTATTTACTGTTTAGTTTGTTTAAAAAATAATGATTATTCTTTTGTAATATTTTAACTTTAATTTTTCACGTGACATATTTAAATCACAAAACTAAAGGGAATTTTAATATATTTGACATAACTTTAATTTAAAATCATAAAATTTAAAAATTTACTTTCTTTTTTTAAACTCCACTTCAAATTAAACTTCATCCTTTTTAAAACGGGACGAGTATTAATTTCTCAAATAAAACAAAAAAACTCTATTCCAATAGATTTTATTTTTTTTAATGTTTGGTGAAAATGAATGAAGCCACAAAAGAGGTGTTCCACTAGAAATGAAACGCATCACCCATATTTTCAATTTCATGGCTACCACAATTGTGACCTATTAACATCACTCTCAGACGACGCCGGCTCAGAGATCTCCAGAAGACAAACCCCAATGCCTATCCACTAATACAAAATATCATCTACCAACGCCCCTTAGTCAATTACCAAATTATCCTTTTGCTTCTCTCTGTCTTAAAAATAAAACCAGAAAAAATAATTGAAAATATAAATTAGTTTCAAATAATTTAACAAACATTGAAGGGGCCACGTACATTCAAATTAAAAAGAAAAAAAAAGGAAGAAAAAAGCCACTCATTTAAATTAGGCCAAGTCGCAGTTTATTAACCATTAGTTAGTATAGTGAGAAAAATGACAAAGATGGTTTATTATGATTGAGGATGAAGTTAAAATAATTATTATTTAAATATGCACTTCATAATTTTATTTAAGGACGAGAGGTACACAAAATTTATCTTATTTTTATTTATAACATAAAATCATATGGTTAAGAAGTTTTAAAATAATACTTTTTAAAAATAATATAAAATATAAGATAATGAAACATGTATTTTGTTTTAATACAATAAAAAGCAATACTACTAATAAAAAGGCTAGCTGCTGGCATTTTTCACGTGAGCGATTAGGCTCGCTATTTATTGATTTTCTATTTGAAATTTCAACTCTTTAATATAAAATTATATTTCTAATAAATTAAGGTTTTGAGACATTTCATCTAATTAGTTTATTATTCAATTCTTATTCTAAGTCTTTTTTAACTTTCATTATTTTTGAAAACTTCAAAATAACTTCAAGCCCAGTATCTTTATCATAATCTCTACTATTCAAGTAAATATTGTGTGCGCTAGGTTTACCCGCAGTATATAACAATCTGCAAATCATATAAAAAATATAAAATTATATTAGATAAATATTATGTAATATACTCAATAATTAAAAATTATTACTTAACGAAAATTGGATTTGACTATAAAACGAGAAATTAAAAGAAAAGGAGGGTAGGTGGGTGGCAATCAGACGCGCCCCAGTGTATTTATGTAATTTGACGAAATGTGAGGTTCTTTTCTGTGCAAAAGATAAATAAGTCACGTTGGTGAGTGGGGACAAATAGGCAAGTTCCATTATATACATCAATCTTTTTTTAGCGTTGAACACTGTGAACTTTCTCCTAAACGAACAATCGTCGGTCGCCATTCCGAACGAAGCTCCATATTTGTATCTGCTACTACTTCCTATATTCAATTTTCAGCTCTTTAATTCTTATCCGTAAGTGTTTTTGTTCTATAATTTTCATTTTCTCTGATGTTACCAATGATTTAGGGTTTTTGGTTTTGCTGATTGTTGCTGTGATTTTATTGATTGTTTCAGAATGGAGACGGCCACTGCTTTCCGATCTGGCTTCAGCATCTGTAACAGAGCCACCAAGGCGGCTCTTGGTGGGTCCGATTTTGTTCGAGTCGGGTCACAGCTTCGGATGTCTCCTTCTGGGATCAAGGTATAAAGGAACTCTGTTTTTCGTACTTATCTGCTTTATTTTATTATAGTTCTGGTGTTATTTTGTCATTTGCAAATTTTTTCTTCCAGTATCTCTACTTAGATGAACCGGAAAATGAAGCAACTATGAATTGTCTAGCTTTGGAGTAAACAGGATGTATTAGTCCAAATTGAAGATAATTTTTGATGTTTTAGATTATTATTTGTAAGAAATAGGGCTGATAGGGTTTCAACATGAAAGCTTGTGAGACTTTTGAAAGGGAACATATATAGTTTAACTGCTACCATCCTATAACAGGAAAGAAGAGATATTACCAAGCTCTTTGTCATTTCTTGATGAAGTTCTTGTTAATTTTATGGAATTGCATAGTTCTTTGTGTTATTGTTGTAGAATCCTCCGGTTTCCTTTAGACACCTACGTGTTTGATATATTGGAAGGATGGTAGTAGTATGTAATGCCTCCAGAGCACGTTAAAACTATAGATTGTCGAAAATAAGATGTGTACCCATGTTTTATATAGACATCCTCTTTTTGACTATTACCCTAAAGTTTGTAAAACATGGTGATGTAGCCATGCTTTCAGTTGCCACTACTCTATGAATGTGTTAGTGTAATTGATGTCTTCTTGCAGTTTCTACTTAACCAATAGCTCTTTCAATCTTTCCTCACCTATCATGTAGGAAAATGGTGTCTGCAGATTTACTGAAAAAGACAAATTGTTGCATGCCTACTCATATCTTTGTTTCTCCTTTAGTCTAAATTTATACCTGAATATCTGATACTGTCTTTTGGACATGTGTCAAATTGTTGGTCTTGGATTTCTCTGCTGAATTTGTTTGAGTATGTGCTGGGTTCTTGCAAGTTTCTTTTTCCATTTGGCGTATGTTTTGGTTGAATATGGTAGCCTTACAAATTTTATGCTTTGAACGTGCAATTCTTTAACTGTGTAAATATATCTGTGTGCATCGTCCTGTCGCTGATTTTTCCCATTTAGGGAGGTGCCTCAACATGCATTGACTTGTGTAATCCCATGTTAGTTCTTTGTAATCCATGTATCCACTTGGATATGACTCGAAGCATCTTATTCAGTTAGTTAAGAGCTTCCCTTGAGCAAAACTATATATTTAAATAAGTTTATGTACTTGGCATAAATTAGAAATCTTATGAGTTATGATGTGAAATTGTTCTTTGACGCCTAATGTATGGACATTTTCTTGGCAGCTTTATCCCTCAATTTCTCATGTGAAGTTGAGTAACAGGAAAGTGGCTTTTGGTAGCAGGAAATATACTGCTATCAGGGCATCGGTATCACCTTCTGAGTCTGGAGGTTCAGCTGCCCCTATTGCTCCACTTCAGCTGGAATCTCCAATTGGCCAATTTCTGTGTCAGATTTTGACAAGTCACCCACATCTTGTCTCAGCTGCTGTAGATCAACAACTTGAACTGCTAAAAATTGATCGTGATGCAGAGCAACAGAAGGAAGAGCCATCTATAGCCGGTACTGACATTGTTTTGTACAGGTTGGTTTAGGCTTCTTTAAAATCCATTCCCACCTCACCCAGGATTTTCCCTGAAACAATTTAGTTTTCTTCTGTTCTTGTATTTATCACTGCTGTTAAGTCTAACTTGTTGCATGGTTGCTTTTGAAACTATCAGGAGAATTGCTGAGGTTAAGGCAAATGAAAGGAAAAAGACCTTGGAAGAGATATTATATGCCTTGGTGGTCCAGAAATTTATGGATGCCAACGTATCTTTAGTTCCTGCAATAAGTCCATCTTCATCTGAGCCTTCTGGTCGAATTGACACCTGGCCCAGCCAAGATGATAAGCTTGAGCATCTTCATTCAGCAGAAGCTAACGAGATGATTCAAAACCACCTGTCTCTCATTCTTGGAAGTCGGTTGGGTGATGATTCTGCAGTGGCACAAATAAGTAAATTAAGAGTAGGCCAAGTTTATGCTGCATCAATTATGTATGGATATTTTCTCAGGAGAGTGGACCAGAGGTTTCAGCTGGAAAAGAGCATGAAAGTCCTTCCTCCGGGTGTAGACAATGAAGATAGTAGCATCCAGCAAGTGGCAGGCGAGGATATCAGTGGTGATAGGAGTGATACCTCTTTCAGATCAACAACACAAACCCACCCAGAATTGACATCATGGTCTGCAGGTGGTGTGAGTCCTGGAGGTTTTGGCCAGGGGATAAAACCCTCAAGATTGAGAAACTATGTGATGTCATTTGATGGGGAGACCCTCCAGAGATATGCAACCATCAGATCTCGAGAGGCCATAGGCATGATTGAGAAACACACCGAAGCACTATTTGGTAGACCTGAGATTGTTATCACCCCTCAAGGCACTATTGACTCATCTAAAGATGAACTTATTAAGATCAGTTTTGGTGGGCTGAGGCGGCTTGTTTTGGAGGCTGTAACTTTTGGGTCTTTCCTCTGGGATGTTGAGAGTTATGTCGACTCAAGATACCATTTTGTTGCCAATTAAATTTTCTGGTGACTCCACTGTGGAGTCAGATTTATGCCCGAACTTAGAAACTTATTGCAGTAGCATGTTTTAAGGGGAATACAGTAGACCATGCTTGTGACTTGTATATATGATATTTCATATTAGACAATATTTAACAACAGTATGTTTCCTTCATATAAGACGTTAACACGATTACATGTTTACTTATTGGGAGGTGAATCCCAAGTCCCAACTTCCCCCTTCCTCCTCCTTAGCAGCCCCAATAAAGTGTTGTTGGTCTTGATGCAATTAGTGAGGAACAACAAGTTTGATTTCTCAATATTTGGTATCCCTTGCCTTGTCTACTCTTGCATGTCCTATTCTTGCAGTATTGCACCATCAATTTTCTGCTCATAGCTATGAAGTCTTCCCTTTACATATTGGCACTGTCTTCACTTTTAAGTAAACCTAGGCACTTCATTACTTGAGGGTGGTATGTTCAAGAACACAATTCTCAGTCCTGGAGAGTTTAAACTGATAAATATTTGTATTTCATGTTCTTTGTAGAGTGTAACTCATGTAAATTATTGTACAGCTTTAAACTCTTTTTTTTCTTCTAGAATCTAATATAGTCAATTAACGGTTATAGTTACTTATACATTATTCCTTGCAAGTTTGTTGGGTGTGAACAATTATAATATATTGGATACTCTTGTTGTCATACTTTGGAGAAAATCGTGTGGGTTTAACTTAAAACGAATACCATCCATCATAGTGTGTACCAAATCAAATACAAACAAGTAAAAGTGGACATAGGAAAGGTTATGCTTAATAGTTTTTCTATTGCTTTATATAAAATTTGACACATGAAATGCGGTGTTCAGTTATCATTTTACAATCGCACGAAAACAACAATTCCATTATCCCAATAACAATAATACGATAACTGCTTTTGTATCAGTTCCAACGAATATTCTCTGTTTATCCAATAAAATATCCACTCGCATATTCGCATAATCTTTTTAGAAACACAACATGAATTATTTGCCTCTTATTACATGCATTAAATACTCTTTTCCTCTTATATGCATTATTAATATATACTATTATTCCTCAATGTTTCAATATTTTTAATCTTGTGTCTTGTTATTCAGAGAGAAATATTTTATTTCCTTCAATTTCAAAACATAGTCATGTTTCTGTTACTTGTGATTTTGGCTAGTTTTTTAATAGATTGTTCTAGAGCAACTGGGCTTGAGAAATTTGATCATCCCATTAAAGTTAATGGCAATTTAAAATTTTTGGTTGTTGGTGATTGGGGACGTAAAGGTGATTATAATCAATCTGCTGTTGCTCTTCAGGTACCCATAATTCTCAATTAAATGTGAGTAATTAGTATCTTTTTTTTTCTTCTTGTATTTGATATTTAATTATGTGTAAAATTTGGATGCAGATGGGTAAAATTGGAGAGGAACTAGACATAGATTTTGTAGTTTCAACAGGTGACAATTTTTATACTAATGGGCTAACAGGGGAGCATGATCCAAATTTTCTGGAGTCTTTTACCAATGTTTATAAAGCAAAGAGCTTGCAAAACCAATGGTATACGGGTGAGTTTTAACCCATAATGTGATCTATCCTGCGTGAATTTAGATTAATCGAAACTAATTAAAAATGATACTTTTGTATTGTTTGTAATTCTGTTAATGTTGATTTTGCAGTATTGGGTAACCATGATTACAGGGGAGATGTAGAGGCTCAACTTAGTCCTTACCTTAGGAAAATTGACAGCAGATGGATTTGTTTGCGTTCTTTTATAATCAATGCAGGTCAGAAAAAATATATAATTTTTTTTAGAAAAAAACTAAATCTGAAATCTAGTTTTTGTTTATACTTTCTAACTTATAATCATATGGTATCTGGGACGCAATATTACGATTATAATTGTTACTTTACATCTGTCCTAAGCCCAACTAATCCAAATTCACCGCACATAGGAGTATGAATTTCTCCATTCTCATGATATTAATTTGCAGAATTTGCTGAAATATTCATGGTGGACACAACCCCATTTGTGAAAGAGTACTTCGTGGAAACGAAACATACGTATGATTGGCGCAATGTGATGCCTCAAAAGACATATACAGAAAACGTGTTAAAAGTAAGTTTACATCATCATCTCAGAAAACTTAAATAATTTTATACTTGTGCTTTTTTCTTTACCTTTATTCATAGTTTCGAATAGAGATGGAGTCAGAATTTTACGAATTTCAAATGAAATGATTTATACACACTCAATAAATTTGGACTAAAGTTACATACATATTATTGCAGGATCTAGAGAATGCGTTAAGTGAATCAAGAGCAAAATGGAAAATAGTAGTGGGTCATCATGCCATTAGAAGTGTGGGACACCATGGTGACACTAATGAACTTGTTGAACGTCTTCTTCCTATCCTTAGGGTAATAAACTTGTTCAAATTTCACATTTTTTTACATAACAAAATATTAAATTTTCACCCACATGACTTTTCTTTATTTTTGTTGTTGTTCAATTATGAAATTCCAGGCATACGACGTAGATCTATACATTAACGGCCATGATCATTGCCTTGAGCACATAAGTGATACCGAAAGGTAAAAGCTAAAGAGTTAGAAATCCGCCACATTATTAGTTTTCTCTAATTGAATTTGATGCAAATTATTGATTTTATCCTTAAACAATTAATAGTCTTAAAAATACTTATTTACTTTTAAATACATCCTCAATCTGACACATGACATATCAGGAGCATAAGAGTCTTAATAAAAATCTGAGAGAAGTGTTGAAAATACTCTAAACTTGACGAGGATATAAGAATATATTTCACTCATGTTGCAAGATTGGAGATGTATTTTAAGTTCAGTTAGTCAAATAAACGAGTATTTTTAAGGTTGTCAATTGTTCAGATTTGAAACTAATGATTAATAATAGAGTTTATAGATGATTTCTAATACTTCTATGAATTATCAAAATAAACCCTTGGGCCTGGCTCAAATAATTTTGCTTGGGACTTCACGGGGTTCTCAAGTTCGAAACTTCTTATCTGCACTAGCTAGTAAGGACTAGTCTTTTTGTAGAACTCATCGCACGAGACTTGCCTAATACATCTAACTAACTGTTGTATAGCAAATATATGTTAGTATATCTTTTGTAATTGTAATCTAATTTTGGTAATAATTGCAGCCCCATCCAATTTTTGACTAGTGGAGCAGGATCAAAGGCATGGAGAGGAGACGTGAAAGGGTTGAACAGTGAAGATGTGAAATTCTTCTATGATGGACAAGGTTTCATGTCTGTCCAATTGACACCAACACATGTAGAGATAGAATACTATGATGTTTTTGGCAAAGCTGTACATAAATGGAGTAGGACTAAGCAACTGCATCACACTGTTATTTAGATTTTTTGAGAAATGCGCAGAGCGTTTGTAGATTAGAGTAAGTAGACTACTACGCTTATTTTTTAAAGGTGAAAATAGTGTATCGTATTTTGTTGTATTGAAAATTTTATCTCTTTTACAGATATTAGATGTAAATCATATTATAAATTGCTTTATATTTTTTTTTATGTTTCAATTTTGTATGACATATTTTTTTATTTAATTTTGTTCATGTTAAATCCTAGTTATTTGACAGATGTAATTTTTTCAAATTTGAAATTTCAAAATAATTCGACTTGCTTCAAACATATGAAGCAAATATCTTGACGAACATATATCTGCTTCAAACCTCTTATTAGAATTAAGATATGAGTAAATTGAAAAATTTGTCTATATTCCCAACATTACTGAATCAAACACTCACATTCAACTAATTTACTAAAATTCTCTGTTCAATCACCAATCAACTAAATTATTAAAATCATTCTCGAAAATATTTGTTAGGACTAGGGGAGTACATAGGTTGGTTCAGTTTGATTTTTTATTTAAAAAAACCTAAACCAATTATGTCGGTTTATCAAATTTAAAAATCAAATCATATAAAGTTCATTTTTTTTTGTTTTAGTTTTATAACTATACTATATTTGAAAAAGCGATAAATATTTTTTCACTTACCTGTGTGATAAATTAAACTTAAAAAATGTTAAGTGAATATAAATTTTCGAAAAGACTGTAAATTCACATGAGTACAATTTTTTTTTTTGAAATATCGATGTTCATTATGCTAAACTAATAAGATTAAAGGCTAGGTGCAAACTGAATACAAAAATTATGTACAAAGTAAATAGTTAACTTCGAATTTGAAAAACTATAACAATATAATTATAACTTTGGATCTTAACACAAAATATAATATTTACAATTTTTACAAGTCCAAATTTAAAATAAAATAGATAAACATTGGAAACTATAAACTAACTTATAATATATTAACAACGTAATTATAGATAATATTTTTTAGTTATAAATAAAACAAAATATTATATATAATATTTACAAAAATTTTACAAGCCCAAATTTAAAATAAAATATATAAAATTAAAAATCATAAACTAACTAAAAATATATCACCAAAGTAGATTATATGTAAATAATATTTTTTATCTATAAATAAAATAAATTATGTATATATATGTGTGTCGGTTTGGTTTGAATTTAATTTAATTCTTTTTTTCTAATACCAAATAGAATGATCAATTTTTTTTAATTTATTTTAATTCATCGATTTAATTTGACTTAATAATACGAACTATTATTTGTTGTATGTTAATTTCCAAAAACTATCCATGTTGTGATTTCTGACCACTCCTTTGGTCTTCGTACTCGAGAGTTCCATAATATGACGGTTGGGCCCTTTTTTTGCTTGGTGTCCCTTAAGCCAATTGTCACTTTTTGATGAGTTACTGTAGTCAAATAAAGTAAAAATTGGATATTGTTACGTTGGGGAAAATACTATTAAAAGTAAAATTTCAACAAATTAACTTTGCAAGAAAAGAATTTTCTTTTTTGGTTGAAAGGATAATATTATATAAATATATGCAAGAAAAGAATTATTTATGCTAAAATAACATAAAATTATTACATGAATACTAAAAGTGTAATTGAACACAATATAATCAAATCCAATTTTTTAAAACGTTATAATTTGATTTTTATAAAACGATTATAGTAAAAAAAATTAGCAATAGCATGTTCATATTACTTTAAAAATATGAAGATTTTTAGAAACATTGGGTGTATCCTTTC